TACATAGTATAATATGTTATAATAATTAATATTAACGACCTTCTTTAATCTACGATTTCGTGACACTAGCTGTACTTATTAAACTAATCCTAATGTTAAAAACTGAAGTATATTTGAAGGAACTCACTTTCTTTGCATAATTGCTATCGCTAACTAAATATAAATTTCATTTGAAGCACATTATGCAACAAAGTTAACAATGGCTTATTATTAAATAATGATTGTAAATCTAAGATGATAAAACATAACTAATGTAGGGATTATAAACAAAGTGTTATTTAATCTGACTTCTAGTTCCATATTTATTCTTGATCTTGAAATAATTCTGTACAATCCATGTATGAAATTACTGTCGATTACAAATAGGCCAAAGACTTAATAAAAATCATTTAATCCATGTATTCCCTGGTGAAAGAGATTTTTTGTCCCTTGGCAGCAAGCGATACATAAACGTGTATCAACAATTAAAAGACTAGCTAAAATTTCTTTATCAGTCAGGTGCTTTCAAGAGATACCATCATAAGGCAATGCTGTGATTCCTTGGTTGCTTGCAAAATTCTTAATCTTTTATGCCAAATATATTTTGTTTTTTTTCTATTTAATTTCAAACAAAAGAATTTTTTATTTTTGCAAACAACCTTATCTTTCTTATTAGTTTAATAACCAGTATACATGTTTTAAATTTTGTTAATATTTGCATTAAGACAATAAATTTAAATTTAACTTGTGCAAATATATACAAAATTAGGAGAAAACGTTTAATAAATCTCGTTTTAAAAGAAGAAATAATAATAGATTTATTTTTCTTTTCTGAATAAGCATTATGGTGCATTTACACCCAATAATTTGTATTATTTAATTATTTTACTATATTATTCTTCATGAAAATTATAATAAGATGTATATCAAATGTAAATACACCACCACGATTATCCGGATTTTTATACAATAAAGACATACAAATAAAAGATTTTTGAGTTATATTTAACACCGCTATTAGTGCACCGATATGTTCTGCAGAGGCAATTTCGTGGCCCCACAAAATTACACATTCAGTAAATACATTTGGACGCTTTAATCTTGCAGAAGTGTTACGCATATTTACAACTTATCTATATCAAGTAGTTAAAAAAAATGTAACAAAATGTAGAAAAACACGAATGATATATACAATAATTTCTACCGATGTTACTTGTTGTTATAGAGCATATTCTATAGTAACAACATAGACACATTTTCTCATTCTTCAATAAATAATTAATTTATAGCAACCTTTATTCTTATAGTCTAATTTACTTCTAGAGATTCGTCATAAATCGTACTATTAAAACTTCAAAATACAAATATATATTAACATTGCTAACAGTTATAACAATAGTAATAATCGTTTTATATATTTTTTAATTTCATATTGAATTACTAAGGGTTGGAATAATTATTTTGTAAATTGAGTTTGTGTAATTTTACTTTATAAAATTATTAACAGTAGAAAATATAAAATAGAGTATAAATACTGTAAATTAGTGAAATTTAAACATATCCAATCATGTTATTTTACATTAATAAAAATAATAATTTCGCCAGTTAACAACAAGTAACATCTAGTTTCCACCACTAGTAAATCATCTAACATCTAATCATTATATGATACATAGTATAATACAACATGATACAATTTACTTTTGTATTGAATAACTTGGCGATTGGCATTAGTCTTCTCAGTAAATGTATAAGAAGTAATAATTCTTTAATTATAACTGATAAGATATTAACTACTTTTTATGTAACTTTCTAAAATTCATATTTTTTGAAAATGTTTCAAGAAAACTGCATCTATTGAATAATCGTTACAATGAAACTAAAATACAGAAACGAATGGTAAGAAAAGAAATATTGAGCGAATAAAAATCTTAGGAAAATCGCATAGTGAAGAGTATTTTATAGCTCTGTTGTGTGTGTGTGTGTGTGTGTGTGTGTGCGCGCGCGGCGTCGTGTGCGCGCGCGCGCGCGCAGGGTGGTAAGAAAAAAAAGGTTCAAAACTTTAAGTGTAGATGGTACTCGCTAAATGAAAGGAAAAGGTCCCAATAATCATATGTCAAAAAATTAATATTTTCAAAGTTATAAACAATTTTTCGTTTCGGTTAAAGCAAATGATTTGCTCGCTTCGTGAGCTATCGTGCTGTATAAAAACAATGGATTATCTGTCCTCTTCCCACTTCATACATGTATCATAATATAGGATTACCTGATTATTAGATTTCACCAGAGAAATATAAGTTATACATCTTTGCTATCAGTTACAGAGAGCTAACACAAAATTGTGAAAATAAACTTTAAAAATATTAATTTTTCAATCCATGTTTATTAGGACTTTTGTCCTTCATTTAGCGAGTACTATCTACCCTCAAAGTTCTTAACCCATTTTTTTGAACATACTGTATACACACATATATGCACATATTGGAATTAAGAAACTAGTATTAAAATTCGTCGATTTTCATTATGTACAATTTCAAGAATAATCTTTCATCAAAAACCTTTGTATTTATCATTTTATAGTTGGAATGAATTCTTCATTTTTAATGCATTCATATCAGTATTCGTGATTCATGATTAAAAAAATGACCGTACGAAAATCGTCATAATGTATATTACTACAGAAAATTCAAAAATACTTCATCATACTTCTGCCCCTAAATCTCTTACGCCTTGTTCCGCTATTGGAACGTATTTATCATCAATTTTGACGAGTAAGATAACTTTATCTACGTGAGACCGCCGATTAGGATCGCGATGATTGGGGGACCAACAATGAACAACACATCCTTCCATACCTCTTTCAGGTACCCAATGCTGCCATCCAGATCTACCACCCTGTTGTCTCATTCTCTCGTCTGGCCAAATTACGTCTATGCGACGGCCCAAATTAATAGCATCATACACTTGATTAGGATCTATGATCTAGTAAGAAATAGTAGTAAATAAGTGTTAACTCTTGAAAAAAAAAATTTTCAAGCTTTGCATATACGTCAATTAAAATAAACTTGTTCTACTTACACGCACTCGTTGAAAAACTTCGTCCTTTTCAAGTTTACTAGTAAAACTTGTTTCACTCTTAGTTTCGGTTTTAATATCGCTATTACTAAGAAGACCAGCTAAACTAGCAAGTGTCGAACTTGTAGGTTTTCCAACTGAAACCAACGATCCTCTGTTTCCACCTAAGGACCCAGTATTTGTTCTTCCTAAACTTCCACGCCCAGTTGATCCGCCAATTTGGCACCCAGAATCTATAGATTGTGAACCAGATGTGTTATGACCCGATTGGCCATATCCTATATAAAAAATGTCATTTATATATTGTGAAGGAAGTAATATGGATGAATTATAATAGTTGTAAACTATGAACCTAAATGAATATTGTACGTAGTCATTGCATATACTCCATCATTTCCAAAACCTCCGTCATCTTGAGACCCTGTTCCCCCAGATGAACAACCTTGACCACATCTTCTTCTGATTCTATAAATGATATTTTTAGTAAAAATAAAATTTGCAGCATAAAGTTTTTGTTAATAAATTATAGTTTATAATTATATGATAATATAATAAACCGTACCTTTGCCATAATTTTAGGACGTTGCTTTTAATTACACTGAAACTTAAAGGTCCCCCAACTATAGAACACAATTGTTCATTAGTTTCTGCATAACTAGTTGTCAATGGTGAGACGTAAATTGGGTACCCGATAGGTTGATCGCAAGAACTATTTATTATATTTCGAAGAACTTGTTTAGCATTCTGTATAGAGCCTCGCTCCGGATTTCTATTTCTCAAGTACACTAATTCTTGTTGTTGTCCAGCCCATAAGCCACGGACACATTCACGATTCATTTTAATTACTCGAAAACTTAAAAAACGTTTGTTCAGCATTATCACTTTATATTCGTCGATGCCATCATCAAGTACATGCCTAAAAATCAAAATAATAAGTAATAGTAATGTAATATTTAATATTCATACATATTACAGTATCAAAATACCTAAGCGCCAAAAGGCTAGGTGCACCATTTAAAACTGCATTTCTCCAAAGAGGATCTGCTTCATGACTAATCACGAGATTTTTGTCGTGACTATCTATAGCTTCGTAAAGGGCAGACGGTTCGCCATATTGTTCTGGACTTGTGAAGTGATCTTGATGCAATTTCAATGCCATTCTTACACCTTTTGCTACGACACCTCGTAATAAATCAACGTCATGTAAAACCCATTCATCTCGAACTGATGTTATACGAAAATCACCTAACATGTAAATATACTTTTTAAATATTACTCTCAAATGCAATTATTTTTCAATTATTTACTATAAAATTGTACCTTTAAAAAGAGCATGTAATCCGTATAAAAAAAATTCAACACTTGAAACAGTGTTATGAGATAATGCTCCCAAAACACGTCTTCCCAAGAGACTTAAAGCAAGACATAAAGATACTAATGGTGAATTTCTCGATTTGTCTAATGTCTAAAACAGTTAAGAACAAATAGTGCCATGTAAATGTTAATATAACTTATGTATGTTTAAAAAACTACCTTATCATGTTTAGTAACACAATACTGTATCCAATCCAAATAAATGTTACAAAAACTGTTTCTTGTGATACCGCATGCTCGGATGTCGTAATCCTCATGGATGCTTAAATTGAAAACAGGATCCAGATCGACAAAGTTTTTGTCAAGAGTTATTTTTAGAGCATCCGAAATATCAGTATTCTCCAACCAATATTTCAATTTTGGTGATTTAACAGCATAGAAAACAATACTTTTGACATAGTATGTAACTAGTACTTTACGAAATTCAAACACTTGAAGCATAGAAACTGCTGAATTATCTGAGATCGAGTATCCCTCTAAAACGTATTTAGCACTTGCAACTTCCCAAGCTAACCAGCGTTGACTGAAAGCTGCGTTAACGCTTAAAACATTTGAAAAATGTCCCATTTGACAGCAACAACAATTATAATTATCTTCAATTCCCTCAGAGATTGCTTCTACCTAGAAATAAAATTATTTTCAAATTTAACAGTAAGACATTTTATTTCTAATTTTTAATATCTAAAATAATATACATACCTCTCTTTGCTGACAATATGTTCCTCTAAATTCAAGACCCCTTAATTGGAAAGTTACCAATCCATTGCCTAATTGAACAACGTGTACTAAACAGTTTAAGTAATCGGAAGCTAACAGAAAACAATCGCCTTGTTCCACATTTCCCCAGCGGCCGAGAGCAATATCTCCATAAAGACTATGTTGCAGTGATCTTGTTAATTGTTCATAGAAAATCGAATTCAAATTGTTATCATCCGCACCCAGATTTCGATCCAAATGAGAAGACATTCGTGTATTTGAATGATCTACTCTTCTTGTTTTGTAATCACGTTCCCAAAATTTCACTGGTCGTACATACGATGATATGAAAATTGCACTGCCCAAAAGGGGATTCAAAGGAGTGCTTAAAATTGCGGAAATACCCGCTTGTAGGAACAACATAGCAGAGTGCGGAACGGAGAAAGGTTGAGCAAATGCATGAAATGCACTACCCCAAGTAATTTGCCAAGGTGCAATGTATGTCACTACAAATCGTATTTTCAACAACAGTTCATATACTTTTGCAAATGCTATTCCCGTGACAAAATAGTCTACCAGAAATGTTTCACTGAGATCTCGAAAGTCCAGTTTAAAAAACAGAACGGCAAAGATCAGAGCGAGGTAACGCGTTGATGGATCAGAGTATGCAGATCTTAAAGATTTCAATCCACATACCACTATTATTAATGCCCCCACACTTTCTCCAAATTTAGATACAATTTTTGATGAACACTCTGTGAGTGCTCCTAAAAACACTACTGGGTACAGAACATTTCTTTCCAAAAAACAAAGGCAAACATATGCTTTTTCAAACCACATAATTTTCACTGGTTCACGAACTTCAAATTGTGCATGTTCATGACTACGTAATATTGGTCTTGATAAGCACAACCATGGTAATTGTTTTCGAAGTTGTGGTACAATGTAGTGTAATAGAAATCCAAGGCAACTTGCAATACCCCATAAAACTGGATTTAGTTCTGGTTGTAAGGCTGTAAATACAGTTGAACAATGGATTCCGAAAGACAGAATACCTATGACTGCACATACTATTAAATCGTTCTTCAATCTTGCATTCACTGTTATCCTTAATTTTTCAGGTAATGGATCTACTAATTCTGTGTCCGACATTTGTTCGCCAACTTTAATTTTCACATGTTTTTTTCTTCCAGATGTTCTAATCTTAGCTTCTTTGTATGGTGCAGATAAATTGTCTCTGCGAGACGTATTCTCGATAATCTTAGCTTCTTTTTCTTCTGTATAAATTTCTGGTGGCCACAAATTTGTTTTGACAATGTCCCATATTACAGTAGGGTCCGAAGACGATCTACTTAAATGATAAGATATAGCAACTAATAAACCCGCAAAAATAGAAAATAAAATATGTTGTGAAGATTTTGGCTCTGTAAGTGCTCCATAAGCAAATCCGTACAATATAACAACAGTGACAATGCTACGAGAAAGGCAATATATCGAAGAGATTAGACTCGTAGTTGCATTTCCACCGAACAAATGGATATCTACATGTTCACAAAGATACATTAGAAAAGTATTAATTTGTGGAAGTAAACCTAATGAAAATATAATAGGAAAGCATAAAAGAAAAATTAATAAAATATTGCGAATTTGTAATATAACATCGTAATCGGCAATTCGCAAACCATATATTCGAAATTCGGATGTTTTAAAGTTCCTTAAAGATTCATTAAAGATTAATATGAATCCTGAACATAGTATATAATATACTGGCCGAGAAAATACTATAATGCGATTAAATCCATGTGTCGGAGAAGCAGCATCAGGCTGAACGGATTTTAGTAATGAATACTGACATCCGGCAGTTACGAAACAAAACATGAATGCAAATATATCTCGGTAAAATCCTTGTTGGAGCAATATAAGACCCAATCCCGCAACAGCAACTGCTAAAAACGTCGAAACGATGGTCTCAAAAATTGTTAAATTTCTATCTAATAATGCCAACAAAAATAAACGATCGAATCGCACTTTGATATGTGGTAATTTGCCAATTTTCCATTTATAATAATATTGCTTGTCTTGTCTTGATTGTTTTGGTTTAGATTCGGATGCATCTAAAGTAGCAATAAATCGATTCCAAGATATATCACCTTCATACGTCTGGAATCTTAAAACAGGTCTATCTCGACGATTAGAGTCTGCTGGGTAAAGGTTCAAATTAAAATATCCCAATAAATTTCGCAATCTTCGATTTATGTCTGTCATCGATTCTATTCGCGATAATATGTCTTGATGGAATTGATCTCGCTCTAAGGTTTCAAGTTCGCATTGATTAGAATTTCCATTATTTCGATGCAACTGAATTCGTTCTAATGTTTCCACCGTGTGATGATTATTACTTCCAGAATTTCGATGCAATTGAGTTCGTTCTAAAGTTTCTACAGTACGATTAGTATTTCCAGCATTTCGATGTAGTTGAATTCGCTCTAAAGTTTCCACTGCACGATGATTAGAACTTCCAGTATTCGATGAAACTAAATTCGAAGATAATGAATTTTGTGTTTTGGTTTGATTGCTTTCTGGACTCGATAAAACAGGTGGTGTGTCTATTATAACACTTAATTCATGAGAATTTAAAGATAGACTACTTAAACTGTTACTCAAAGAGTCTGTTACTTCCCAATTGGCATCATAATGTAAATTTTGATTAAGTTGTTGGCGTAATAAAGTATTCAATAATTTATCGTTATTGCTAGAAGGAACTTGCGAAGCTGCAGCAACACCAGATCCTTTTTCATCGAAGGTGTAAGCTAACCACCGTCCGTTTTCATCTCGGAAATAAGGTACAGCTGCTTCTATGGTATCGTTGTGATTGGCAACTAAATGACATTCTTCATTTGATATTAATCCAAATAAAGCAGTAAGTGGTACGACATTATCATCTCGATTTCTATCCCGTGGTACACGATGTGGTCTAATCGGATATTTTAGACCTCGTCCTTTTCGTGAATTTCGACTTTCTGAATTGCGACCTAATCTTAAGTCGGACACAGTACTAGATTGACCAGGTAGTTCTCGGCCAGAAGTTAATAATGTAGCTAATAAAGAAGATGCAAAATTAAGTCTACTTAACTCGTTGTTTGAACCACTGGTTTGCTCGAATCTATCAAATCTATCAAATCTTCCATCCCTTCTTCTATCTTTCTCTCTTCTGACTTCTAATGGCCGTTTAAATTTCGGCCGGGTTTGCTCAGTAGTTGTAACATTATCATCTATAGAATCTACTACAGGTTTTGGACGGCTTTGTTTGGGTATTGCACCTTGGTGTCGTTTGCTATCTGTTTCTAGTTGTGGAAGTAACTTTCTTTTTACCTCGTTTTCCGTACTCAAAGTCGTTGTACTAGATGAACCAGAGTCAGGTTCTTTATTATGCAGTCCTGTAAAATAAGAATTCACGAACTTTATTCCCCCTTTATATTTTCTTTTATTTAATCACATAAGTAATGTAAAATTTACAGTATAATATAGTAAAATTTAACAATAAACTAAAAAGTTAAACTTACCTTTATTACTTCGTGATTCTATCGCACAATCACCACTTTCAAATATCTGATCTATTTCGACTACACTTCCAACATTTAACGGATCATCTATATTTTTCGATTTATCTTGCTTGTCTTTAAACAAGTTCTCTAAATCCGAAAATTCATGAGTGCTTTGGCTTCCATTACTATATCTTCTTTTAATACCACGCTTTGGTTCTTCAATTAATGCATCGCGAGAATTTGCAGAATCATTATCTATACCACCATCCCCATTAAATCTGAATATAAATTTAAATGGATGTTTACACATTAATTGATCAATAATTTGATATTAATTTTCATTATTTTTAAAATACCTTGAAAATCTATCTTCAAATCGGCTAGTACTAAGACTTCTGTCCCGATTAGAGGTAGCGTTAGTTTCACAAGTCTTTCGAGTAAGTAATGGACTGTAAGAGTCCCGAAGGCTAAATCCTCCACAACTTTCATTTGCAAATTGTTCATCACTTTGTTCTGCTATAGGATGTACTATTTCTGATCCATAACTAAGATATGGTAATAGTTGTAATTGATTTTTTTTTAATGTATTTTGAGGTAACACCTTGAAAATATATATAATTTATAATAGAATTTTCTATACATTCACACAATATATGTCATATCACAATGATACCTTTTTAGTATTAATTGTTTCAAGACTTTGTGGATGAAGAGGTAAATTATTGTCATCTATAGTGTTTATATTTTTATTAGTAGCACCAATTGTCTCAAGACTTTGTGGATGAATAAGTTGTTGATGTGGCTTTTTTGTAATAACCTTATTAAGAATGAAAAAAGTATGTAAACACATCATTTAATTATTTGTTTTCCAAATAAAAAATATCTCCACCTTTACCTCTAAGGATTGTGGGTGTGACGAAATTTTATTTTTTTCTGTATCTTCTTTTTTTGATATAATTTCTAAACTCTGTGGATGATCATTCATTAAATGAGTTTCCATCACAATTGAATTAGAATTAAGACGCCGAAAGGCTTGATTTGACTTCCAGTAAGGATAATCATCCCCATGGTGTTCCAATTCTAATGAACTTGTTTGTTTTATTTGACTTTCAGAACCTGTTTTGCCAAGACTACCCTGTTTGGAATGACGATTTCGTGAATCTTCAGATGCATGTCTGCATAATTTTCTTGAACCATGTCGATCCTCTTCAGCTATTACAACACATTTTTGTCTTTTCAAGCTTCTTTCTACATGTGTTTGAAATTTCACAAAACAAATATTAATATATATGAAAACAATTGCATTATAGAAGTTGTATCATAAAAATGACAATACCATTTATTATATTTCGAAAACGTGGTTCATGATATTGCGCAGAAGCTAGTTCTGCTTCATGTACATTTATACTAGGTACCATTGGTTTAGACAGTTGTTGTGCTTCTTCCGAACTTTCTGAACTATTTTTTCTGTGAATTTCTACTTTCAAATCTATAGTTGAACTAGGCCTATCCCGATTATACTCAGATGTTATACTATCTGCATCTGCATTTTGCACATTTGATTCAATAAAAGAGTTGCGTGATGAGCATTCTACAGGTGGTGTATCTGTTTTTCCTACATAAAAATATTTTCTAATGCAATAATATAATAAATATAAAATATAAGAAAAAACAACTTATTATACCACTTAAGACTTGTAGTTCTATTCCATGATCTATTTGATCTTGTGATTGTTCCCTGCATTTATTATGCACTGTGCGTCTTTTGTCACTTTCTAATCTCTGTTGGTTAATAGTTTGACCTGATTCTTCTAAACACTCAGTCGTATCATACATGCAATGAAGTGCATGGTTAACACACTTTATCATACCAAAAAGTGCTCCAATTGAAGAACAATATGCCACCCACACATATAACGTTGGTGGAAAATACTGAAAAAAAAAAAGAAGAGAATTAATACAT